AGTAGAGGTCTGTGGTTTACACAACCCTGATGGATTATTATCACAACCAAAATAAAAAAATGATGTGATAAAGATCATATTTGATGCTTAGCGACATGCAGGAGCTTTGTTTGCTGCAGCAGTGTCGGTGTTGCCTGTTTGTGTCTGGCTGATGTGTCTTGTGGTTTGTTCCTCAACTCTGGAGCTTGAGTTTGCGTCAGACGGTGAGAGACGCACACACATGCGTACGTAGGTACTTGTAATCTTCAGCTGAGAAGATGAGACGAGGAGCTTGGTGGTTTCTGAGCTGTGGCCTACATTCTTTCCTGCCTGTGGGGGGAAATGTGTCTCAGACTCTGAGAAATGAAGACAACAGGTCTAAAGATGAGACTCATACACAGGAAGTAAACACTGAGAAGGTGACAACAGTCAACATATGACTGATTTTTGTAAACAAGCTCAAGCTGCAGCAGGTTTTGACTTTGTGGTTTTGAGTTGATGTTTCTGTTGAATGTCAGTAGACAGGACTTCAACATCCATCAATCCATTTTCTTTACTCGTTCTTTACTTTCCAGTTTGCAGGAAGCTGGTGCCTTTCTCTACTGGCCATTGAGCTAGAGGTACACCCTGGACAGGTTAATAAAGTCAAACAATCATTCACTCTCTCACTCTGTCATTCACACCAATTTGGAGTTAGCAGTTATCCTAACATGCATGTTTTTGGTCTGTGGGAGGAAACTGGAGTATCTGGGAAACCATGTGTGTAGGAATTCAACTTAGAGTCTGTGACCTGCATATCCTTCAATTACAAAAAAAAAAAATGTAGGAAACTTTGCATATTACATGATTTTACCCATTTTGTCACAAAATTGGCACATTTTCTTTTGAACTTGATGCTGCAAAAGTGAAACAGGAAGTGACACCAAAGGGGAATTCTCTGGTCTTTATTTATTGAAACAATGGCTGTGTCCAAAACGACAGGCCGGGTCCTCCGGAGGACCCAGTCTACCCTGTCGAGGTGGGCCRGGTCCTTGGTAGACCGGGAAGACCGGAAAAAAAGAGGCTGTGAATTTGGACGGTGTAGCCTCCCCTCCACCCCGGTGTACATCATGTCACCTAGCAACTGTGACGACGCTAAACAGAAGCAAAACTAGATCAAAATTAGAAAAATATAGATATATTAGCATTATTAATATCACAAAACAATAAAATTAACTTAAAGGTAACATTTGAAGAACTAATTGACCCGCTGTAGGT